ATACATATCGTTATCGTTCTATCGCCCAGCTCTAGGTCTTAATATCTTAACTTATGCAACCAAGGCTCAAGGCTGGTTGGAGAAGCAGCAGAGCATCAGTCATCGCTGTTACTTGTGCACATTTTCTTTTTACAATTTTGTCTTCCAGTCAACCTCTTATGAATTGGTACAGTGCTCTGAACACTCAGCCTTTCAGGAATAACTTTATATGGCAAGCCCTGGTAAAGATGGAGTTTTGCATCAGGAAGGGTGTTCAATGGAAAATCTTTGCAAATCAAACATGCAGATCGTCAAGAATGAGATTTCCTGGACCGACCACCTTCGGTGCAGTTAGCCAACAGGGTGTTGGTGATAACTGTCCTACTGTTAGTGGAAGAGAAAGGAAAAAAGGAGAATGTGTTTGGAGGCAGTGAAGCTTTTCTTATATTTGATCACAAGGTGTTAATCCTGTCCCAACAACACCCAACACATCAGTCGCTGGTTCTGGTTGTACATCCGGTCAAAAAAACAAGACAAACTGGATGGAACTGAATAGTTCAGTAATACAGTGACTTTTGCCGCCACTGGACAAACCTGTCCAAAATCAACCTGCTTAGCCAGATATGTAACTATTGCTTTACCAATCTCACATTTGGCATAATTAAGGGTTAAGGAGGCTTGAGTAAGCCACTGAAACACTGGTTCTAGGATGAATATGCGATCCGCTCAAGCATCTGTGTAGATCACCACATCATCAGATGCACATACCAGATGTATTAAACGCTGAAATGTAGCAGGAGAGTTTTTCATGCCAAATGCTATCACGATTTACTGCATAAAATTATCAGGAGTGACAAATGCAGAAATGTTACAGGCTCCGGGGGTCATGGTAACCTGCCAGTAATCTCTAGCAGATCCAACTTAGTGATAAATTTTGCAGGACCCATACTGTCAATGCAGTCCTCTATACGAGGGAGTGGGAATGAATCAGAGACAGTTACAGCAATGACTTTAGTAGCTAATGATAAGACTAACAGGTGCCTCACCAGTAACAGGAGGTACTTTAATTTCAGCATCTGGCTCAACAACGCTTGGGAGCTGATCTAAAACACCTGTCTTGCATGCTTAATCATCCAGGTAAGTAAATCCCAAAAGATTGATTCTGTTCTTCTGGACCTGACAGCCCACTGAATGAACAAAGGGCTGTGAGGTCAGTTCCTTGATCATTAATATGCAAATTGTCATGACCATTGATCAACAACCACTGATCAAAGGGAATGTCTGCAATCACAGCATTGTAAGATGGCGAAGATGGCAATCCCCAACTTTTTGTGAATGGTCATTGAGTGGTTGTTGATCAGTGGTCACTGATCTCACAGCCCATTGTTCACTCAATGGGCTGGTTTGAGTTATTGTGCAAATGTACTGTTTATAAGGTTGGGGAAACTTGCAATCAGCTGAGACTGCAAAAGTCACTTGGATGAGTGATGAAACATTTCTCCTATTGCAAACGTGACATCCAGATTAACAGAATATCAGGATATCAGATTCAGGCTCCAAACTTGGGGTTTCAGTGACCTGAGGGGCAGGCTAAACCTTCTCTCTTGCTATATCGTTCACCAAAATAAAATCCACCCCACTAATGGGAAAACATGGGCACACAGCCAAAGGAAATATACCACTGTACACGATTTTAATCAGTTCCATCCTTTTTGGTTTCCTAGGCACTGAGGCTGACTATTTTTGTTTATATACCTCACAATCTGCTATTAAATGATCAGACTTAAAACAAACAACATATTTTCTGTCTGTCCTAGCATTGGACACCGGAACCCCTCCCTTTTGGGTGTGTGCAGCTAGCACTACTAGCTTTCCGTGCGTAGTCACATTGGTCATGCTCAATAAAATTGGCCTTATGGCTCAAAGGTGAACTCAACAGGCAGTGTGGCACCCTGCTGTAGTAAGCAAACCTTTCTTCTCGTTAAGGTACACCACAATGTGCTCTGGTAGGCAATTTGTAAAATCTTTGACAGGCACCAACTCACGCACTGAATTAAGATCAGTAGCTTTACACACCATACACCATCGATCAAAAATGGTGCTCTTCTCCCTTGCAAAATCAACATATGGTTGGGCCTACTCCAACTGTTTTCAGCTGAAGCTCCTGTTCCTGTTCATGCTCCTCCCTGGAGGTATGCCAGATGAGGTTTCGGGCTAGTGTCCTGCTTAGAACCAAATGAGGACTCCAACGACAGCAGATCAAAGCAAGGCAGCGTGATTGGCCTGTCCTCAAGCACCTGTGCGACAGTTGTTGACACTAACACTGCTACAGTCTGATCTGGCAATAGCAGAGGTGAGCTAGAAGACTCTGGCAGGGTATTGATCCCCCTTTACACTAGACCAGACACTAGAGTTTGTCTGCTTGAAATGGCTACATTTCAAGCAGACAAACCCCCCCCCA